TGTCTAAATTACCGTCTTGTATCACATTTTAAAATTTTGTATCATCATTTCAATCAATGAAATCATTCTTCATCCATGAAATCATATGGGTATTTTATATTAAAATGTCAATACTTATCCAACATACCGTGTTTTAGTTTTTATCAGTCTTTAAATTTTTATTCATGTAAAATTAGGTTCAGCAAAATTCTCATCTGTCAACCAGAGTAGTAATTCGACAACAAAATTACCTCACTCTGTTCAGCGTCATCCTGTGCCATCATTGACTGTTCTTGGGAGAGATGCAGAATTAGACGGATATTTAGATGGGTTAGTAGTAATCATTCTAAACCAATTCAACATAATTGCTTCAATAATAATAAATATGTAACAAGATCTTATTATATCTGGCCGCGTACCACTTTTGTTCCATTTACTCTGGCCACATACCACCGACAAAACCTTTTTTTTGTGGTGGGGAACAATGGCACAAGAAATGCTCCATGGTAGTATTTTATGTGGCACTATATCCATTTTAGATATTGTGCAAAGTTTCAACGTATTTATTTTATGCAGTAACAAAGTATTAATTGCGTGCAAAATCACGAGAGAATTTGCGTTGATTGCCGTCAGGCTGAAAGGCTTTGTCCATCGTCTTGTTTCGTTTTAGGTGGGCAGTGGCGGGCGAGGGCGGTCTCAAGACAAAAACTGCTGCTAGCGCTATAAACCCGTTGTCGCCATATTTTAGCCTCCAAAGTTAATTGTTGCAATAATTCAAACTGCTCGCGTACCACTTTGAAAGCTACCGCGTACCACTAGCGGTACGCGTACCACAGGTTGAGAACCACTGTATTATAGGCTACTATCTTGTATTAAACTGGGTCTGATGAGTGTTGAACATAAACTCCTAACTGGTCCTGGATCCATTCCTATGTTTGTTCTATATTTTAAATTGGGCACAGTAGTAGATGTGGGTAAAATTTATATAGATAGAAATTTTATTGTTGAATCAGTTTGTTTTACTCAGCTGCGTCTTGCTGCCTTAAATTTTAAACAATAAATAGTATATTTCTGTCCACCTACGAATATCAATGTATAACAAAATTATTTTTTTAATATGTTCAAAATTAAGGAAGCAAATATGTCTGGTTTAGGCGTGGGGTGTGCAACCTTTTTCGCAGGCGGGCCAAATATCAATAACTGGGCAAAACCGCGGGCCGCACCTTCATTTAACATAGGCTTTCTATTAGTTGCAGGCACAAAATAGTTTCTTTTTGTTATTGATCTCATGTTGTCATCATAAGGGGTCCTTGCAGAAAACGCATAAATAGGGATGGGCAATGTAGAATAATTTACTATTCTAGAATAGTTAAATCGAATCCAGAATACCGAATCCTATTTTATTTTCATACTTATTTAAATAGTGGGAATTTCCACAATGCTGGATTAGATGTTAAAAAATTGCAATGTATTACTTACTATAAATGTATTATTTATTTGGAAATGTCCCGAACATTGGATTTCATTTGATACTAAACAGGCAGTTCCCAGGACAATAAAATTTAGGAATATTACAATATTTTTTGCCCTCAATTGTTCCAAATGTATGTAATCCCTAAATACTAATAAATACTGATATGCTAAACTAAGACACGCTTTACGCACTTTAATAGTAAGCGGTTAAATACAAAATAGACATGAAACGGCGTTAAATCATTATTAATGTGAGTCTGTTGAGTGTACTAAAACATACCCGCTGAGAATTAATTAGATGCAGAACCAGCGTGTGGCCACTGCAACCTATGCGCCTTTGTAAAATATTAAATTTAACCACTATCAATTAAAATCAACTTTTTATTCTGTGCGAGCAAGACACGTAAAACCAAGTTCCCGTAAACGCGATTTCGTACTTAGTTATTAGGTAATAACATCTAAAGACGAACTCATTTTCTATGATTTTCGTTACATATCATTATCTACCCAGACTTGGCCCTACTAAAATTCAATATGTCACTATCTTCGCCAGATGCGGCAACTTTTTTCAAAATTCATCGCCGTCTAAAATACTACAGACTTTCGATCAAACGTGCGTCTATCTTGAACGATAGAAATGTTATCATTAATCATTATGTACCCAGACTTAGCCCTACTCAAATTCAATATGTCACTATCTTCGCCAGATGCGGCAACTTTTTTCAAAATTTATCGGCGACTAAAATACTACAGACACTCGATCAAACGTGCGTCTATCCTGAACGATGGAAACGAACCGATGATATGTAATCTTTTGAGAGTGAAATTCAAATGTGACAGATGTTCGCGTTTTGCGATATAACTTTGTATTTCGGAAAATGGTATAATAAATTATTAGTAAATAATATTTGATCGCAAGTAATGTTAAAACATTTGACGCATGGCTTTTGGTTTACGTGCATCATTTTTTTGGAAAACTCGTAGGTCGCGAAAAATCATTTAATTTAAAATGAAGCAAGGCACGTCTGTAAACAATTGAAGATTGTTGCATTCAGATTATCGGAATATCACCAGTGAGTCGGCACAAATAACGCTAGCTAGATAGCAAAGAAGGAAAACGCAAAAATGGTGCAATAATGAGTCTTCGCCGTGATGTTATATTGCCGACTTCTTGTCCTGAATATGCCGATTGAAATTACAGTGTATGATGTTTACCGATTTACGGGTTCTTTGCGAGCAGACGCAAGTTTAATTAAACGAGAGAGATTTCCACGCGAGAAAAACGCGAAATACAAAAATTGGCGCATGGCGCCGGAAAGGCGGAAACCGAATCCTGTTATCGGATCCCGCTGGATTCGAATACTTTGGGATTCGAATCCTCCGGATTCGATATTCTATATTGCCCATCCCTACGCATAAATATCTTAAAACTGTAATCCAAATATAATGTCACACCCAATTTAAACGAATTCGGTGAGAAATTTGCTGCTGGATTCTTTTCCTGACTACTTTTATCCAAATTTGCTTAAATGGAAGTGCTAGCAATTCGATATGACGTCCATTTAAAAAAAAGATATGTAACCGAAAAGTGCCATATTTGAAGCCATGACTTTTTTTCAAATGTGGAAAGTTATCTTAGTTGAGATGTTCTCGGTATAATACGCCAAGATTCATTCCAAATACTTTGCTGTCAAATCTTATTCTAGATTAGATTTTAACAAAATCAACTGATAGGCTGGAACCAAAACTCATTTAGCTTTTGTATCTCTTAATATTACATTTTTTCAAACTGCTTTCCGGTAGCCTAATCTTCAATTGTCCGTTCTTACAAATTCATTAGCGTCTGCTCCGCATTTTTCTTTCAATTGTTCGCTGCTCGGCAAGGGACAGCTTCCTTCTGAATCGCGTTGTTCGCTTCACTGTGAGGACGTTGTAACGTCATAGGCATAGATAATAAATTGGACTCGGATATAAGCTTCGCAACGCAAAGGGAACCAGATCAAACTAAATAAAAATTAATTTAGCTTGCCGCACACCATTCAAAGTTGGCACTTCTCTGCGGGCCGCACAATATGTCCTCGTGGGCCGCATTTGGCCCGCGGGCAGCACTTTGCACACCCCTGGTTTAGGTCATGTGTTAGTGTGTGAGGATTCCTAACTAGTTATTCATTTTCTAATTGAAAGTTGAATTAAGTCTTTTCATTTTTCAGTGATCATGAACAAACACCAAGTTACTTAATCGCACAGAAACATAGACAATTATCTCGTTCAGCTCTTCGTTTTAATACTCCCTTGCCTTCGATTTTGACTCTAGGAAATCAGATGGATGAAATACAACAACGGTAAAAAACTACTGTAATTTTGTGCTATTTTATCAATGTTGCGTGTCTGGTCATTAGCTGATGATAATAAAGGAATTGTTGGTGTTATGTAGAGGCACATAAGAATTACCTTTATACAGAATTTAATCAAAGCTCTGCTTGGCCAGATTGAAATATTTTAGATGAATATTTCTAAGCATATTATTGTTTAATTGTTATTTAGTGAAACTTTTGAAAAAACATCGATTTAACTAATGTAACGTCAAATCACACCTAATATTTAGCTTCAAAATTAAATCTTCAGAAATAACAAAAATTACATATTTTTATTCATTTTTAGTTGCCCATCCCCACTACCTGCTCCTGTCCCGGATCTACTTGGGAGTATTCTAACTGGTCAAGAAGTTTTGATGACTCCTAGCAGTAGTGTTAGTATACGAAGAGGTGGAACATTACATGTAAAACGACCGAATTGCCAATATACTTCATCATCATCCCAGTTATATAATGGAACTTCCAAACCAAAGAGTAATATTGCTTTCACAAATGGATCTGAAAAAAAGGAAAATGAAAAACTAAATTTGAAAAATGAACGAATCAATTTTTTGAATTGTGCCAATTCTCCTGAGGAAACGGAAGCAGGTATCTTGCGGTTTTATTTTTGTCTTATTGACATTGTGATGATTTGAGTTTTACACTTTTTTCTCAACTGCTGATGCAAATATTTCTTGGTTGCTTAGTCTTGTTCATCTTTGTGATTGATTCATTCGACTTGACTTACCGGTACTTTACTTGTACTTTTAAAATCTCAGCAAGCAAGGCTGAACTTTTGTGCCATGCTTTTAATCATGTAAACTAAATCACTAACTTTAAAAATAATATCAATCATTTCTTAGTGAAAGTGTTCTTAAATTCTTTCCTCAGGCACAGAATTTGAAAATAAATTTATTCTGCTAAAAAGCGAGGCATTCTGGATTATATATTGCAGTTCTCTTTAACCCTTTCCATGCGATTTTTATTTTTTATTAAATATTCGCATTTGCTACGCCGATTTTATGCATTTGTACCTCCACAACTAATCGATAGACTAACGAAAAACTAATGATCCTCTGCTGCCCACTGACGGCTCGTTAGAAAGCTTATTTAAAGAGCTTGCAATTGGCGATTGAAAAAAAAAATTTTTTTAAAAGTGGTGGTCTGAGTCACAAACCGGATAGAAAAAGGGCATTTTTTTTCCTAGGAGTTGAAACTTGAAACCGTGATAAAAAATAGAAATATTTGCTAAACCCTTTACTGTTACCGCTTCGTGGTTGGCAAACAAAAGCATAATGTTGCTGTAGCAATTTCGTGATCTAACTCAAAATACTTTGATAGATGGAAGGGATAATATGTCTTCTCTTACCACCCAAAAAACACTGAAATTTGCATAAATTTCAAAAACATTCCCTCGTTCCGCCGCAAATAAAATTCCCGTCGTAAACGAAAGCGAGATTTACCGTCGCTTATATTAATCTCGAAGAAGACTTCTTATCAATAAACTAAAACCCGGAAAAACTAGACCAACAGTTTGCGACCGATTGCTAAATAAAACAGTGGAGTACATCAACGTACCCGCCGCAATCTAGCGAGTTTTGTCGTTGGTACGTATACATGCCCACCGCACGGAAAGGGTTAATCTTGATAGTTTTAAAAATTCTGATCTCTATTATGCTACTAATCATGCTATGTATCATTGATTCATACTATAGGCTTGTGGGGGTCTGTCACATTCAAAATATCAAGCAAACTATTTCATATCTCATATTATGTTCTTTCTAATGAGACTAAATCTCTAGTGCAGAGAGTTGATTTTTTTTCTACATTGTAGTTTGGGAGGTTTAGTTCTGGTATGCAAGATTATTTCACACCACACGATCTTTAGCAATATTTCTCTAGCTGCAGGTTCTCTTTGTGTTTACTCTAATGCCCCACTCAGGAACAAACATTTTGGTGAAGTCAATATAGTACCGGTTATCAAAATGATTAAATATTGTTTAGGTAAATCATCTTCAAAGCCTGATAACACATCGTCTTCCAAGCGCATCACATCATCATCAAGTCATCATTCAGTTGCTTCTAATGGAGAGAGGCATTCTTCATCCACTGTCTCAAGTCATTCAGTGAATGACTCTGGTGATGTCGGTCATCACAGTATTGATGATAATGCAGACGGTGATCTACCACAAATACCAACTGTAAAAAATTCCACCCAGAAGCGCATTAAACTCAAACGTTTTAACTTAATGGGTCCTAATTTAAATGTAGAACCTGATCCGCATGGTAGCGGTAAAAAAACAGGACGTAAAATACAAATAAAAAAAGTTTTAAACTTGCCTCATAATAAGCAAAAGAAAATTGAGAAGAAGTCATCAGAAGATGTCTATGATCCTTTTGATCCTACAGAGGATGATGAGGAAGAACAAAACAATGGAGTGACTGTTGATATTTACGATCCTTTCGAGCCAACTTTGTCAGATGAAGAAAAAGAAGAAGCACAAGAAAATTCATCCTTTTCAACATTTTCCAAATTTACATCTCATGAGACAAAACATGTTGATGAAGAAAGTCAGCCTGTTATTAAAGTAAAAGAGGAAAATGATGATACAAAGCCACCAAAGTCGCATTCAAAATCTGTCGAAAAAGAAGATTCAGTTTTTACAGATTTTGAGTTGGACGAACTTCTTGATAGTAATTTAGATGCAGCAAAACCTCCCACCAGACAGTCTCTAAAGCAGTCAAACAAACCTGTAAAACAAGCTGCATCACCAGAATTTGACATGTTTGCTGAGCCAGAAACTCTTGGTGCTGATGAGGACAAAAGTTCAAATATTTTTCCAAGCACTCACACTGATCCAAGCTCTGCGTGGCGCAAAAAAGTTCGTTCACTATCTAATTCTCAAGACACAGCTGTTGTTAAATTACCAGGATTCAGTTCTGGTATATCTGATTCTACTCCTGTCCAGTTCAAGAAATTCAAAGTAAAAAAATCTGTAGAGACTGTAGAAAATGTCGACGATGTTTCTACCGTAGTATCTGCAACTGCAGAAGACAATATTCAAAAAATCGAGAAGGTAGATGGCCCAGAAAAAAATGAAGAAAATATTCCAACTTTAGTTGAAGCAGAAGAAGAAAGCAAAATTACTGAAACAGGTACAACTGAAGAAAGGATTGTTGAAGAGTCAGCAGTTGCTGAAACAAAGAAAGATAAAAAATCTTCGAAAGATTCTTTGGGACGACACGAGCGAAGTCGTTCTAGAAGTTTGGGGCGAAGGCATCAAGAAAAGTCTGATAAAACAAAGCATCGTTCACACCGTCACTCTTCAAGTTATTCAAGGGGAAAATCCAGTATGTCTCGTTCTGATGGGAGACATAGAAGTGGTTCCGGTGGGAGACACAGAAGTCAATCGGGTGGGAGACACAGGAGTGCTTCTGGTGAGAGACACGAGAGTGGTTCTGGTGGGAGACACAAGAGTGGTTCTGGTGGGAGACACAGGAGTGGTTCTGGTGGGAGACACAAGAGTGGTACTGATGGAAAAAGCAGAAGTCGCTCCGGTGTGAGACACAGGAGTGGCTCTGGCGGGAGACACAGAAGTCGTTCAGATTCGAGAAATAGAAATCGTTCTAGTTCTCATAAAATAAAACACAAACAGAGGAGTAGAACTCCATCACAACATCGAATTAGGAATGATCGTTCACATAAGTCCCACCACAGACAATCAAAAAGTCCTGTGCAAAAGAAGTTTTCTCGTGATACAGGTGATGACAAAGATGAATCTGTTAGTAAAATAAAGAAGGAATTGTACAGTCATCCAGTAGATTCAAACAAAGAAAAAAAACATAGACATCACAGTTCTGGTAATGATCCAGACGATCAAATGAATGTGAAACATATGTCATCAGATAATTTGGAGGATGAAGTTGTCACAGCAAAGATGAAACATCGTGGGAATAAAAAACAAAAGAAGAAAAAAAAGCAGTTGGAGGATGAAAATGAGTTGGTGGAGGAGGTTGAATTGAAAAAGGAATTGTCCCCTGTGAGATATGAAGAAAATGAAGTAACAAATGTCAAAAAGAAGCGTTCGAAGGATCGTTATCACCACGATTCTCAACATGAAAATGAAGAAACTAATGATAGGGTCAAGAATCCTAAAACAAAAAATCGGCAGCGACATAGTAAAAATGATGTCCATGTGATAGTTGATGATTCTATGTATGAGAACGAGATGTTGAAGGAAGACATAAAAGAGCGGGATTCGAGCAAATCTAAATCTAGCAAGAAAAAGAAAAGACGATCAGAAAGAGCCATCAAAGAAAAATTTAAAGTCAAAGAGTCAAAAAGAAAAGAAGATCTAGATTACACAGAATCTGATTACACAGACAGAGAAAATGAATTGGAACAACATGATGAAGATTTTTATAATGATGCCAAACAAAGTATTGCGAAGAGCCATACATCTAAAAAAATGCGCAATAATAAAACAAGGGGAAGTCAATTGAAATATCCTGATGACCAGTCTCACATTTCATCACAGCGTAAAAAACATGAAAAGAAAACTGCTCGACAAAGTCCTGTACAAATTAGTGAAAATGAATTTGATAATAAAGAAAGTAGCATCTTGTATTCACGAAAATCAAAGAAAAAGCCTAGAAAAGCATCTGATAGCCCAACCATGATCACTGTGGAGAATATTGCAGAAACAAAAGAATTTTTTTCATCTGAGGAATTGGAGGACAATCACAAAAAAGAATCAACTAAAAGACATAAATCCCATAAAAAGCGAAAATTACAAAAAGATGTCTTTGACGAGGAAGTATTGCCCGCCAAAATTTTCAAGAAAAAGAAAAAACGAAAAGAAAAAGAATTTGAAGAGGAGTTTGAAGATAATGTAAAAGTGAAATTGAAGAAGAAAAAACAGAAACAAAAAGTTGCAGAAGCTCAGTCATACGATGAAGAAATACATTTAGAAAAAAGGTCAAAGAAGAAGCGATCTAGTTTCAAAGAACATAACAGTGATGATATTAAACCTAAAAAGAGACGACATAGATCTCCAACCCCATCCTATGAAGATGAAACTCTGAAGGAAGATGAACTCCAGTTTGATAAAGAAAAGATAAAGAAAAGAAAAAAGAAGAAAAGTAAACACCAGATAGATGATGACCCTTCTGAAGTGAAACATGTAGATTTAACAAGAATGCTGTCGAGTCATGAATTAAATTCAGATTGTTTGTCTCCGCTACGAACACCTACCCCACCTAAGAAAGAAACAATGTCTATTTCCAACAAGGAAGAAAGATTAGTCCAAGATCTAGAAGAGAATGATCAAGAATCTGTCCAGCCTTCTACAAAGGCAAAAGATTCTGGTGATGAGATTTATTCCCCGTTTGAAGCACTGGCACAATTTGAAGAAGAAACTGAACAGAATGTCGGAAGACCTGTGTTACCGACTGATGGAAACGAAATATATTCACCTACCGAAGCAATACTAAATGATGGCTCAGCTGAAGTCACTTCACCTTTGAATACAGAATTTCCATCCGCGAAGGTAGAGGAAGACAAAAAATCTGATACGTCAACACCATTAAGAGATGAAAGAAGTTCACCCGGTGCTAATGTTGCGGGAGAACTTCCAACGACTAATTTGAGGAGTCCGTCTCCAATGTCCCCGTCTTCTTTATCTCCTGAATCATATCCTGTTTCACCTGAACCACAATCTTCTCAGGAAATCAAGGAAACATTAAGTTATGCAGAAGAGTTTCTTGAGCAATCTAGGAAACGTTGGGAAGAGAGGAAGAAAACGCCTGGAATTGCTTCTTCTTTCATGGTTGGTGGCCCAAAGAAAATATCCAGTTTTGATGTGGAGAAATCAGCATCACACAGTAAAGTTCAAAATCAAGATGATAATAAATTACTCATTCCAATCATCAATAATTCTTCTATAGCCACAGATAATTTATCTAATGTAGTGGATGAATCCAAGACGACAGAACCAAATTTTCATTTACAGAACAATCCATCAAATGAAACTCCAGTCACTCCCATTGTTTCTGAGGATATTTTTGCAGATTCCCCTGTTGTCCTTGAGAAAACATCGGACAAGGCAACTGAAAAGGAATCTTTGAAAACTGAATCACAGCAAGGTGAAGATAGCAAAAATAAATCACAGGAGATCACGGAAGTATTGAAAAACACAAATGTCACAGATCATTCTGTGGAGAATGTTATTGAACCAGATCATTTAAAACAAGATAAAGAGACGGATATTTCTGATATTCGCAAAGATTTGGGAATTGATGAAAGCTTGTGGACGAAAGATGTAGATGAAAGAATAGAACATCTACATAAACCTCACTCACCTGGATTGAAGCGACAATCAAGAAATAGATCGAAATCAAGGTCGCCAAGAAGGAGAAGGTCACGGTCAAGAGAGCGAGAGAGAGAAAAAAAAGAACAGAGGAAGTTAAAATCATCAGAATCTAGAAGTCGAAGGTATGAATTAAAAAAACAGTTGTAATTCCATTTTGGACAAGCTTTGTAAATTAAATCATAGTCCATATATTTTTATTATTTTATTGTTCAATGGCTTTTAGTATTCAATACCAAACACATTCTATCAGATTGAAGGAGGTTTCATCATTACGTCCATATAAATGCACTAAATATGTAGAATGCAATAAAGTGTTGTTGTGAAAACAAAATAAAGTTATTGTTTGATACAGAAATTTGCAAGAGCAATGTCACATTTCATATTATGGATGTGATAGAATTTGCTTTTTGCTTACTAGTTTGTTTGATACTTATTTCATTGCAGACTTTTTCTTGAATATGGTTACCTTGTTATAGATTGAATTGTCAGATATTCATTTAGGTATCGGGAAAGTCATGAAAATGTTATTTTAAACTTTGAAATTCAGATCAGGTCGTCGATCACACTCACCTTACAGTAGTAGAAGAAAGCATTCTAGCAGTCCACATAAACGATTTCAAAGAGAAAGGGATAGAAAAACTCCTGAAAGAAGGCGAAGATCAAGATCTCGAGATAGATCAAAGCGATCAAGGTTCTGTCAAAAAAATAATTCATTGTAATTTGTATTTTAAGGAATATGTGGTGATGTGTTCCTCTCTTATAAAAGGGATGCTAAATGGGAATGAATGTGTATAATCAGTTATCGAGTATAAACCTAAAACAGGTGAATTAATAAAAACTCAATTTTAATTTATTTAATACAATTTCATTCTGGTAGAATTGAAAGGGCACTCCAGAAGTATGTGTAATAATATGGAGGTAACTAATTTTGTTCGCCTATTTTACATCAAATTGTGTAAAGGGATTGAAACCTATGAGCAAGGAGTATATATTCGCTTGGCTACCACAGACAGTCCTGAACTCGTAATAGAACTAAGATAAGGAAAATCAGAATAAAATTATAGCCTAACCTTAATCTGATACACATACTTCGGGAGTAACGTTGTAAGGACTTATATTAATAATATCAATCACTTATATGAGAATTATTAATCAAAAATGTTTTTTAATAATGAAGGATTACAGAATATCCCCTATTTAGGTATATGAAGCAGTTATGGGATGATTGGTATTATTTTTGATATCAAAATGCTTCACTTCAGGTCTCGTTCGAGAACGAGAAATGAGAGCAACAGGCGTGGGGAGAAGTTGTCTTCTAGAACAAAATCTCCAGTACGCTCCAAAAGGAAGTCAAGATCGCCTCAGAGGATAAGTGCGTTTAAGAGTGCTGCAGAATCTACAATATTTTCTGTCAAACGTAGAGGCAAGTTTGATGAATTCAATTTCAATGTACTTTGATAGTCTGTCTTATACACAAACATAATTGTCAAAAATATAAAGAAATCAGGGCCTTAATACTAAATTTACAAATTTTGTATCGTTCATTTGAATAATATATTTCAGAAAGTCAAACCGAAGACACTGGACCACGACCTATTGCAACGATAAGTGGAAGATTGACTGCTAATCATCATGCAATGCAAGATCATCATCATGAATTAGAAGATGAAGATTTTATCCCTAAAAGTCTAATACCAAAGTAAAGTGATTATTACTTGGATTCTTTTTAAATAGAATATTACATTAGCTTTTAAAAAATAAGGATATTATAAAGAAACTTGATCAACATTTGAAGAAGAACGTCATTGGTGTTGAAGATTTCCAATTTTACGATACTTAATCAAAAGATTGTCAATCTGTTTTGGAGAATAATATTTCTAAATTTTGTATAGCCTATTATGTATCGTGAATACAGATTTTCTTGGAACAAGGAATCCTTTTTCAATAATACTTAAATTTTTTTTCTGTTTGAATTCTCATAATTACTGAAAAATGTACTATTGTTTCAGATCCAATCAATCTTCAATACTCCGTACACTTGTGGAAATTCCTACGAACGAAACTGCTTGGAATTCTTCAAAGACTTCAGCACTTATTCAAATAAATACTGCGCCCGATACAAATCTAAAATCAATGGAGCAAACGTCAACATCGAGCAATAGAACGCTTATTAACCTATCTAGTGAGAAAGAGAGTAGCAATTCACTGGATGATAAACTTGCTAAAATATCTGCAGGACTTAAACAAGACACAAGGATAGTGATTGGGAAAGAAAATGAGGTATCTGAGAACAAACCAGACCCATCTGCTGTGACTTCCTCCACCCCGACACCACCACCACCCCCACCACCATTGCACATCACCTCAGAAAATAAACCTGTGGAAACAAAGATTCCAGGATTGTCTTTATTCAGTGATTCTAGTAAGTTGAATTTAGTAGATTGTTGATACAATTAATAGAATCGTTCCGAATCTATAATCGTGCCTTACTGATTCAGCCATGAAATTATGTTGATAATGAGAGCATTTTATATTTTTATAACAAAGCAGTTTTTTTTTTTTATTTGTTTTTGACTCTTTAACAGTATGTGGTTTATTGATTTGTTTTCATATTTCATGGAATCTGTTCAGGTGAACATGAAACTGATGCTTATTCACCAACTGATACACTCGGTGATGGATCGGAGTCTAAAACAAAATCTTCAGGTACATAATGTTGAGATCTATTTGTAATTAACATATCTTTATCATTCTCTGAGAGTCAGTTTCAAGATGGGTGACTAACTTCAGGTCTATATATATATTTAAACAAAATGAATCACTTTGATGACATGAATGGGAAAATGGTTTCTTTTCAATGAGTTAGTCTCAAGCAGTATAGTCCACATGCGATCGTTACCAGACAATTTTATTTTGGAGAATCCTTCCTTTCAGTGGCAGACACTTATTAGAAAAAATTGTGCATAAAAAGTTTTTACTTTAATAAGGTAATAGCTGTGTTGAAATTATTTGTTTGTTCACAACATCCAAAAATAACATTAATTATTTGAGTTTTTTAGATCTATATTTTTTTCATGACAATACTATTCTACTACAGACAAGGCAAAGAAAACTGTTTCGTCTCCTAAAGATAAATTAGAAGAAGAAAAATCTGTTCTCAATCCAACTCAAATTCTCAATTTTATTGGTTTGAATCCTCAACAGAAATCAGCAGCACAAAATGCGATATTAAGCATTGCAGAACTGTCAAAACACCTTCAGCTTGATAAGGTTTGATTCTTCTTCCATTGTTTTATTTCACTTAATTGGAATTCACAAATAAATGCGGGCTTATTTGGTTAGATCAGCGGTTCCTAAAGGGAAAGGACGTTTTGCTAAGTGTGCCCTGGAAAGTAAATTCATTTTACCTTTCTATGTCGTTTACTTTATGTAACCTAGTGTCTGCCACTAATGTTATGTAACCGTTGCGTAACAATAAAGGTAGACACTACTTGCTACAATTCAGCAAGCTGCAGTTTATTTATCTCCTGAACCGAGTTTAGCAAACTTAATTGATTTTTAGAATTTAAAAGAGAAGCCAGGCAGAGATGGAAAGAGTTGCCTTTTGCCTTTATTCCTTAGGCCTACATTTTTCTAAACTTTAAAGGGTATAAAAGTAGCCTACACATTAACAATCACAAAATTGAGTTTTATTCAAAGGCAGCAATTTTTTTTCTGATAAATTGGTGACGCACAAATAAAAAGTTTGGGAAAGCTGTGTTAGGTTATCAATTTCTATTTCTCATATTTTACATGCTGCATTAATTTTTCAGTTAATGAAATCAGATAAGAAACAAAAAAGTCATGTAAAAGAAGATGATGGTTTGTCTCCTGTGTCAATCGATAATATTGAATCTTCTGCTGTTGAAATGTATAATAAAGGAAAAGAAACAGGAGTAAGATTTGCATGTACCATTTTTTACAAAATATTTTCACCATGTTAAATGAAGATTATCTAACATGCATCACAAACTTCCTTGTCAATTATGAACAGAACATTAAATATAATGGTTATAGGTAACGAAGTTATTTTTAATTACTGCACAACTAGCAAATTATTCCAATTCAAGATTGATCTGTTTCTAGCACAATAAGCCTTTTTATACATTGGTACTATTTTCCAGATTTTTCACTAAATTGTAGTACCTTATATAATAATTGCTAATGATAGATTTTTTTTATGTACATCAGCTTCTTAAAAAACTGCAATTTCAAGAAAGAGTGGTTGAGGAAGCCAAACTTGCCATCAAGCCATATTATGAGCGTCGGGAGATTGATAAATATGAATACAAAGAAATTATGAAACGTGCTGTGAACAAGGTTTGTTTGTGCATTTCATTCCTTTCTTTTTTCACATCAACCAATATTTTTTTCATGCTGGACTGGCAACTAGACAAGACATTATTTCCAATCTGCCATTCCATATTCTGTCTCAAAAAGCCTGATTAAATGTTCCATATGTTATTCCAAATTTAAAAATCTGAAAAATATTACAAAACCTCCACAAATAGAATCCAATACTACTACTGGTGATTACTAGCACATTACATAAATGAAACGGTTGAACTGGAAGTTCCGAAATTGCATCACAATTACAGGAGTGATTTTGAGATGTAATATTATAGAGTACTCCACCTGGTAATCATTTGTTCCTCATCATGGTGTGCATATTACAGACACATACGTACTATTACATATTGTGGAAGTGAAATCCACAATTTTCCAATTTAAAACTGCCCAGAATTCTCAGTAGTTCTCAGAATTTGTGAAGTCTTGTGCCCGACCTCAAAAATAACGAGCTAACCATAAGCTACCTACAAATAACATATAGTAAGGAAAAATTATGTTTTGTTCAAAAAACGTGTTGAAAATACATGTATGGCACGTAAATAATGAAAAGTTTCGAAATGTAAATATCCAAAATAAGGTGGGCAAGATCAAATCTAACAAATATTTTTAATTAGCTTCACGCCACCTCAAAAAATTGTCTGCGCCCCACACTTTGAGAATCACTGGTCTATCCCCAACCACGCTGCAACTTCGGTATTTTATAACAGATAATATGGGTTGTTACTTGTTATTGTCAGTTGGCTTCGAAAAAAAATGTAAAATATAGCAGTGGCAGCTTATGCTGCTCTGGTACAAAATATTACGTGCTTTGCAGAAATTTGTAAATCAAGTGATATTTGAGGACAATAGAACTGTATCATATCATAGCATCGCTCTTTTAAATATCGACAACCCTCCCCTTTGCCAAAAAACTGTGTTAATTGCGGCATTGAAATTGGCATAATTATGGAACACAATTTGAAGCTCAACCAATCATGTGTAGGATATATCACCAATCCCATACACAATTCCATGTCTTTGAATTAAAAATAATAAATTCTGTTTCAGATCTGCTCATCTGAGAGCAATTTGGAAGTGAATAATATCAAAATAAGAAGACTAATTAGAAGATACATTGAAAAATACCAACATAAAAGTACTTATAAGAAAGAGAAAATGAGAAGTAAATTGGATGAAAAGGTGAAGTTATTGAGTTTTTTTAATTGATGGAAATGCAGTATGGTTGGAGTTGATGCGATATTTACTCTTGGTTCAGTCAATTGCTGCATTTCATGCGTATGACATTGTTATGGAACATTCATTATTTGTCGTTCTTCAACTTTAAATTATCTTAGCTATCAGGGCCCTCGTGTGAATTTCTATGACATAGGTAACTTGATTTCTTTAGATCAAGAAGCCCAGCAAAGCAATGGATTCTCCTGATCGACCATCCTATGAGCCGCTCACACCTCCTCACCAGCCAGGACCAAAACAGCCAGGAGATGGAATCAATAAAACTGTTAATCCACCTTCTCTCCTCAAAAGAGAGCCAAGGAAAATTGTTACTCTTCCAGATCTACCACTTCCTCCTCCCCCTCCCCCACCTAGGCCGAGCTACATGCCATAAACTGAAAAATAAAAGGGATTTCCAACCGTTTTCGGATAGATGTTACAAATACCAACTAAGAAGCATGCAGTTGCGCCTTCATAATGAAGTTTTTTTCATCTATCATATTTTGGCCTTCATTTTTGTCGTATTGATAATATTGTGTGATTGACAAAGTTGGCAAAGGCCTTGCGGTGGTTGTGACCTACACAACCTGTTTTCACTAATGAATTGCTTGAATTTAGAAAAGTGTATGCATGTTGCATGCCCAGGAAAGAATATGATGACAGACAACTGCGGCTATGTCGTCATTACTTTTAATTTTTAACTCGTGTATGATCTACCATATTTTTATGTAAACTCTCTCGAAGAGTTTTGTGGTGTTATGTTTTTATCATTTTCCCCAACTCTTTCTTATATATTGAATTTGATTACGTGTTGTATGTATGAGGTCGTTTTGCAACATCATGAGCCAAAGGCCAAAACTATTTATATGGTCCACACTTGTTCATGTACCTTGTCTGTATGTTTATTCGTAGATTTATCAAACAATGGATGATGAAGAGAAAAAATAAAATTTGCTTTATAAGTACCAGTGTTTTATTTACAAAAACATTAGCCAGTTTAAAAGGTTTTAGTCATTCTTCTGTTCTTGTCCCTTGTCATTCTCATCACTTTGCTGTGTTTGATGTGCGGTTTGGTCACCAGTTCGTGCAGATGGTTGAGGGGCTCCGCTTGCTGTTGGTTCAGGCCTGTCATATAAAAGAATTTTATGGCCATGGTGTAAAAAAGTTCCCAAACTTCAACAAAGGTCATTGGCTCGTACATCCAAAAGGGTATAAAATTATATATTGTTGCAACAATGAGTAAAGTCTTGTGTAAATCTCTATCACATGGATGAGATTTTCATAATTAGCATCAAAATATTGAATTGGCCAGTCTGTAAAACACATGAAGCGAGGTGCTCCTGACCTACTCAGATCCACCATTTAATCATTTCAGTTACAGTTAGGGCTGTCCAAAATTGAATAATTTTTTTGAATCTAATATTTTTGCTGGATAATCGAAAATTATTGCGCAATCCTAAATCTGTCTCTATTATACAATAAACGCCTGCCCTTCGATGTTGTGGTAACATATGTGCAGTTATATCTTACTTACTGCTGGTATTTTGCAATACAATGTTTCAGATTTATGAAAGGAGATCACACGCTTGTGTGAACAAGTCAAAAAAATTGAAGGACTCCAAAATTTGGGTCTCGAAAACTGTTGAGTGTTAAGAGTAAAAATTGCACAATTCAAAAATTGCAATCTCAATTCTAATGGATTCAGTTTTAATGGGACATGTAAAGCCTGTATATGCTATTCTAATCCTATTCACTAGTCTCATGTTTTTTGTGTAATTTTCATCAAATTAATATCAACCAATAATATAGATAAAACTGTTGCTCAAATTCAAAATTGCATTTAACAAATTCGAAGCTAGTTTGATCACATTATTATTCGATAACTATAATATTGTTAGTGTACAACAGCCATCAAAATTCGAGAGTGCAATTATTCGTCTTGGTATATAGATGGTAATACAGTATTGCCATCATAAGAAATTACAAATTTCATTGAAAGAAGGTATTGCCATCATAAGGATCCCAAAACACCTTTTTCAGCTTTGAGTTGCCTGTACCATGTTCTTATGATAATTCTTATGATAACTAACTATCGAATCTATTTATAGAACTATCGTTTTTTTCTAAATTGTCTTTTTCTCCTTGTTCTCTCTCAAAGCGTCATTACCGATTATAACTTTTAAGTTATGATGACCATGCATGAAATGGCTAATCACGTGCCACCGGGTGGGCATTAGGAATGACATGTTTATCACAAAACGAAGGCGAGCGGAAGCGAGAGTGGTCTAAGCTCGAAGCGCCGCCGCTTGTCCAATGAAAAACGTCCTGCAAAGGTGGTTTCCGCTTTCTGTAGCTAATTTTAGCAATTCGGAAATTAGCCGAAAAACGATTCGAATAATTTGCCAATTATTCGATTTCGAATATTTGGTTCGCTTGGACAGCCCTAGTTACAGTACTTGAATAAGTTCTAAAATACCAGGCAATTAAAATAAAGGAAAATTAAAAGCAGGTCGTACTTCCAAGTCAAATTTGAAATTGTGGAGGTTACGTATTTGTGATTCATTTTATTACATTTAATAAATTAAAATCAGGCTACAAATTTTTATTTGTTTCGGAGACGGTGTATAACTACCTTATCACCGATTGGTGGGAATAAATCTAATTTTGCCAGGTAACGAACAACATTACTATTCATCGTATTCCCGAGATTGCGATTCCATAGCTACTGCAACGGTTTTCGTGGAAATTGAACAAAAAATAAACGAAATCGAAACAACCCACTGCGGGACACATGCCCTGGTAAACTTGTCATCTGCGATTATAAACTAATTTGCGTCACCGCTTGACTGGTCATTGTCGAAAACTAAAAATGGATTTATTTTGGTCAGTACTGTCGACTATTTCTTTTCGGTTGCGTTTCCGACACCACGTCAAATACTTGTGTTTTTTCTTTTTAATAAAGGCATAAATCAGACACTTCCTTACGTCTTTCTTTTTTAAACCGCATCAGGCGAAGACCAACTTGTTTACTAGAACAGGATTAAATACGTTCGTCGTACTTGTTTAGCTTCGTTACGTCACCCGAAAATGGCTGAAATAGGATTTACATATTCATCCCGGGGGAGAGGAAAGCCGATAAGACGGCTTATCCATATGGCGAACCACGGCCTCTCGTCCGGTTACCATTCCAAGTCGGGTATGGGATTAGTTTTACTGTATTGTTTGTTTTCGGAAGCATGGACTTGGTGGTGGAGGAAGCCGTAACCGACCAGCGGTTACGTGAACCACCAACGACGGCGAGGAGTCCAGCAATCCTCTCGCACATAACCATCCCTGCATGGGATTCGAACCTGCGAACCCACGCAGAGTAATTAGAGGTGCGGTGGCGAACGTATTCCTAACGCTTAGCCCGTTGAGCCACACCGCCGCGCCAAATGAAATGCTCTTATTCGGTGCTCCCGAAGTATGCGAACCGAGATGGCGGACATCGGAACGTAACATGGGTAACAGGTTGGGGTTAGGCGATAATTTTTTTCCAATTTTCCTTATTTTAGTCCTATTATCAGTTCGAAGACTAGTCAAGAGCCTCCCGTAGTATTTATACCTAAAATTATGACCTAACCCTAACCTAGCACACATATTACATTCCGATGTCCGCCATCTTGGTTCGCATACTTCGGGAGCCCCTCTCTTTCTCTTCACAGAAGTGCTTTCGGTAGGCCAAAAGACTTGCGCTTTATTCCCCCCCCCCCCCCTGCGTAACTAACGATAGAATATAAATTGACGGCAGTGCTCATTACAAGCATGATTAAATCATAATTACATCTAACAAAGTAGAGGTCAATCTGAGTTGGCATTGGATAAAAAAATCTAACTCAGGAATAAAGTCAGTTCAATAATAAATTGATATGTGGTGTGGATATTAATGGAGCTCGTGATAAGCTGTATTCATATTACAATAATTCAATTTAATGCTTCGCAATCACCAAGTCTGTCTTACCTTTCAAAATGGGTTGTGGTGTCGTCGCTAGGGTTTCCACTAACAATTACCCAGTGATTATTGTCCATTTCCGCCTTATGTGAATCTAGATGTGTATGAGCAGAGACTTCAAATTCTTTTCCAAATGGAGTCCTGTGTCAATTCAATGAATTAATATGTTTTGAATATTTCAATTCTTTATTTTAAGATCAAATTTTAAACTTACCTCAGTATATAATCAGATTGCACAGCCAATGCTTGTCCAGTTTTGTTATGCTTTATTATAACTTTGACATTTGACTGTAAAAGGATATTTTCAATATTTTGAGTTGTGATTTCAAAAAATATATAATTTAAATATTGTAAAGTGGTTGTAGGTTATTTGGACATTTAAGCTATTAACTTTACCCAATATTTGAAAGGTTGTTGCAACATTGAGTAAAGAGCTGGTAGGTAGGTCATGGATACAATTTAATCAACAAGTGTATTATTTTATTTGGTGATATCTTCATAGATAAATATTTAAGTAACTTAAATAAATATTGTTCAAAAATAAATACATGAACTGTTGAAAAATATAACTCACAGGAACTGGTAATCCTTCATATTCTAGCCGAAGTCTTGGATCATATACTTGAACTTGCCATGTGGTCAAGTAATTTGTTTCCTCTACTAATTGTAGGATTTGCTTCCTAGATTTTTTTGCATTAAGATTGAATCTGGCATGATCACTGAAAAGGTTGAGCTGAAGAATAGAAAAATATGAATAGAACTAAGAACAAAACATACTCTGCAGCAAAATATGATTAGAATTTGGGTAATAGTCAGTTGGGCACCTCCTGTTATTTTGTTAGGCTATCTCTCAAATTAGAAACATGCTTCAGTTGTATTATCTGTTGAATATTTTGTGCTCAAATGAAGATACTAGAAGATTGCTTTTATGTTTACAGAATGGCTTTTGCTAATCTATTCTAGATACTGATAGATTCCTTATCAACTGGTTATTCCCAGACCTGATCTAGAAGCTGTAGTTTGGGTACTCCTGAAAAATGTGTACCAGCTTAGGGTTGGGCCGTAATTTTATTCTGATTTTCCTTATTTAGTTCTATTACGAGTTCGGGGACTGCGTATGTTAGGAAAAGTGAATATACCCCCTGCCCATGGGTTTCAATCCATTTACACCACTTGATGTAGAATAGGCAAACAAAATTAGTTTCCCACATATTGGTACACAAACTTTTCGAGCGTACACATACTATTTTCTCACTTACATTGCCAGCATATCCTTCCGTTGTGGAAATTGCAAATGGTTGTCCAAATCTTAGGGCCTGGCCATGTTCTGTACCATCAACACTGAACAGAAAGACATAACATATTGCAGAAATAATGTTGTAAAATGGCAATATCAAATTTCAATTTGACTATTGCAAACATCTGGAATTTTAAAATATAATCAAATAATACCTTGTAATGACGAACAAATTTCGAGCACAAGGATCGAATAACGTTGAACAAGATACTGCACATGGTCCTTCTACCTGTTTGGCTGTATGCATCTTGTATTCATCCATATTAATCGAAAGAGAAGATGGTTGTCGAGGTGGCTCAATCTTAAATAGAACAACCAACAAAATTAATTTATGTCACTTTACACGGTTAAGTCTTTCAGGTATGTTATATATAAAAAATCTTCTGAAAATATTCTAGGAGGAATCTATTCAATTACAAATAAAAAATTCAGTATTTTGAAGTCAATTCAGTAAAGTGAAAGTGATTGGATAAAATATAGCCTAACAGTCCTTCTGACCAGTTGCAAAGATCTTGGTGTGTTTTCTTGACCTGGATTGATCAACATCACTATATCTCCAAAATGAACAAATCCATCTGTTGTTACAGTTGGATCCATCTAAATGAAAAATGCTGATGTTCAATTTGTTAAATTCATTGCATTGAAAATTGTTATTTACTTGTTATTTAAAATTTATTATAAGAAACATCCATTACAGAAATGATCAGTAAAATGACAGATGTAGGTTAGAATCTCATAGATATAATCCTGAGTGAATTACTTAATATTTGTGGTACAGGAATCCATTTAACCAATGGACCAATATTACGACTTGTTTTACGAACATGTCAATAGGACTTTATTGGAACACAAAACAGATACCTTTTTAAGAATATTCTGCATGAGATTATGTGTTTTTTGTATTAGAAGTTCTCCCTTTTCTCTGCGATCAAGAAAATCCTTCAGCAGATCCTAAATTCAAAAATAATTGAAACCACTCAAGACGTGTATGTGTGTGAATGGATAGCAGCACTGGTTATTGCACTTATTAAAAAAAATTCTCTAGGTTTTTCCGATCTTCCTGAGGACTTTATCTGTGTTGTTTATTTTTTGTTTAGTGTTGAGACGGAGGATTGAAATACAATTGTATTGCACATATAAGCAGAAACAAATACAGCAATCCTATAAATATAGATGGAAATCTAGGTTAAAATATTTGAGCATTTTACAAATGTCGAGAAGAAAATTTTGTCGAGCATCATGTGTAATTTTAGACAAAAAGTAAGAATAAGTAATTTATCTATTATTTTGGCTGTATAAATATCATAACAACATAACATAAATTATTTTTGCTTAACATCTACGACATTCTGATCTTATTTCAATACTTATAATTGATCAAAATATTTATGAATTGAACTTGAAATATTACTACATTGTCCAAAGATGACACATTTGTTCTAATTGCACATTATCCTAACCTTACAATACAATAATCTGATAATATAAACGATATACAGATATAGTTAAAGGCTCAAAGCTTTATTCTTTAAATACTATGGTGCAAAGTTATTTAAAGGCATCTGTATAATGTTGATCCGTTTGCTAATAATATACTTACTTCCTCTAAACAAATATCTTCATTCCAATTGCCAACCCGCACAGACGGATTATATGTGCGAACACTCATTGTCTCCGGCGCAGAACCAGTGGTATAAAGATGAAAACAGTATCAACTAAGTACTGACTGACTGGCCAGGAGCTAAACATTAACAACCGGTGTAAATGAGTTTAGTGTTTCCATAGCAACGTCTCGTCGCTACAGCGAAAATGCTCATGTATGTATGTATGTATGTATGTTTATTCGTCTCGTAAGTAATTACAAATACTGAAGACGGGATGTATGCACAAGACCATATTGGCCTAAGCCCTAAAACACAGATGTGCGGCATACACCCCTTTTGATATATATAAATTATAATAGGGTAAATCAAATATGTACAATATGGTCCTTTATACAGGCAGTTGTGCAAGGAGGGTGGGTGGATGCGGTAACAGGGATATGGGTGGAGTGTACAAAACTGTTTGTACAAAGGAGTTTGTTAGACAAAACAACATCTATAAATAGAGACACAACACAACATGAAACACACTGCATATGAATATAGTAATAAAAAAAAATTAAGAATTTGGATGAATGTACAATACCATTGTGTGATGATACCACATACTATAAAACGCGGGAATGGTCAAGTTTGAAGGGTGTGTACATATATGGTATGCACCACTCAAGGGCGACAGCGTTATAAGTGGTCTATGGCTGTTCTGGCCAAAATGTGACCCTACAGGTTTTGGTGAAATATGATAAAGGTATGTATCAAATGACTCACTATTATAGGTTTTTTTTTTGAAATTCTGGATTCAGCCAAAAACAATGAAGTTTCAAAAAAAAATAAAAAAAATTAATAAAAAGCATTTCCACAAAACCTATTATGGTTGCATTTCAGCCAGAAGATTAGAAAGGTATAAAGGTACAGTGGGATAGGGAATGATAAGTTATAAAGAGAAGCCATTTTACCATGTCATGGATTTTCCAATGTAAATTAAAATAATAAAATTATATGGTATCCTGGGATGAGCAGAAGAAAAAGTGTGATTCGGTGATAGGTAGCAACAATGGAAATAAATTGAACAGCATGCTACTCAAACAAAAACCATTGTCCCTACTCCCTACTATTTGAGCATTGAAGTTCTATTGAATTGTACTATCTATAACCTAAATTGCTGTGCTTTTGTTGTTGTCTAATTACGCATGATAATGAAATTAGAATGGTGTGCTAGTTATTAATTCAGTCCATTGTTCTATATTGAATCCGGGTGAAGTATCCTGTGGAGTTATTGCAGTGGCGGCGCGTGGTCATTTTGACAACCGGGGCAAGCTACTGCGGGATCAAGTCACCCCCATCTACGTGGACGGGATGAGCACTGTAAGTTCTCCCATCATTTTATGAGTATAAAAACCATTCCATCGGTAACAACCAATCGGCAAAAGCGACAATTTTTAACGATAAGAAAGTGTCTTTAAAACCGGTCCAAGTCAAGGGATTATTAAATATAGACATAGTATATATGCTGCTAGACTTCTACTGCTTGAACATATATGCAACACGCCGCGGTTTCTTGGAAGCAAAATGCTCAATAACGCGCTGATTAAAGTCATGCATCCCAGAAATAACGTCTCTGTGAATGGATAAAACAGCCAAGGAATTTAATCTATCTTGCTTCATTGTGTTTCTGAGATACGTTTTAATACGCTTCAGCGTGCTGAATGTTCGCTCTGCGTCGGCGGAAGAAATAGGCGTCGTCAAAATGATGTCCAGAAATTTTGCAGACGCCGCAAAGGTAGTTACTAGAGTGTTATCTATGAGGAACCCATAGAGCGCGCAAGTTGATGTGATGTTCAAAAAAGTTTGATTGATGTATATACATCGCAATTCATTTTCCAATTTACCCACGTTTATCATGGGGTAAAATTTGGAAACAGTAGCCAACAAATGGATGGGAATTTTGGGGTTCATCAAAGAGAACGCGGCAATGTGTTCAGTGCGCAGACGATCGCCTATTTGATTCACCAGAATGTCACAGCATTCCTTTGCAGACAAAATCAAACGCTGCGTTGTTTGCCCGCAGCGTAAAGAAGCACTCCATGTGTCGTCGTATTTTATTGTTTCCCGGATACGAGATACAGCATCGCAGAAGTCTGAAATACACGACTACACAGACGCTTCATCCATTAGCCTTGACTGCAATGCGCCGTATAATACATCCACGTGATAGAATATTGTGGAGAAAAAAACGAGAAAAAATGAAAACTCACCATCTTCTAGCAGACGCTTTAGACCTGCCGCCTCCCTCACAGAGCGTTCGTCCCAAACCGGAGAGCTCTGAATGCCATTGAAACACTCAATGAGCTCAGACCTAATTTCGGACACGCCCTGCACCACGCGTGATTGGAAGTTCCAACGTGTTGGTGCACAAGCTGGGAGACGGCGGCTACATATCTGGCGAAGTAGGTCAGAGCGCTTCGGCGAAACGGGAAAAAATGAAGAAAACCCCGAAACATTTCCAAAAAATATACGGACGAGAGGGGTATCAAGACACATATTTTTAATAACGAGGTTAAATTGGTGTGCATAACAATGTAAAAAATGCGCATGAGGAAAATCTTCTTTTATATAAACTTGAACACCATGTTTCGACCCACTCATGACTGCCGCGCCGTCATATGTTTGAGCTATCAATTTTGACTTCGCGTTGTAAGGCTGTAACACTTCTTTCAGTACAGCCGATATCCCGCAAGCCGTGCGATCAACGATTGGTACAAAGCTGTGAAATCTCTCGGTAGGTTTACCATCTTTCACAAACCGAAAAATCACAGCCAGTTGGGAAACGCACGTGATGTCAGTTGTCTCGTCAGACTGAAACGAAAGGAACTGGCAATTCTCAATTTCCAGAGCCAAATGTTGTAAATAAATTTTATACATTGAGTCGAGCAAATCATTTTGGATATCCTTAGATGTCCCTTTCGAAACAGTTGCGGCATCAAGATGATCTCTCAATACTGTATCTAGGGATGCGGTGTATTCCACCATATCCAAAAATACCCCTCTATTAGAAGAGCCAGCCCGTTCATCGTGCCCACGGAGGGACAGCTCGTGACAACCAATGAACTTCAAAACATCTATCAATCGACCGAGAACATGGCGGCTTTTCTCGACGTTTTGGTTGTGCCGACGAATAGAAACCGCGCGTCCTTCATCCAACTGTGCTGCAATATTAATATTTCCGAATGTTCGGTATTTTACTGCATTGTCCAGATGCTCCATAGAAGATTGATGATCCCTGGCACGCTCGGAAAGATGTTTAAATCTCTAAAACCAAATTTACACCAACGTGAGTCACGGGCGGTAGCAAAAAGTAGGAAATAAAAACAAAAAAGTGCATTTTTGTCCTCGCTGTAACACAATCTTTCGTGTTTTTTATACCAAGTTTCTGAGCAGAATGTACGCAGACGCTTTCCTCCGTCATGGGATTGTTCCAGTGAACAATTTTTTGGTTGATAAGGCCCAAGACGTTGTACCTCTAATTTTTGTTACAGCGGCAGATGCGAAAACGGAGTGCGAAGTAGTGCATCAACCTTATTCATTATGAGGCTAAGAAATGCAAAGCCGGAAAGAAGTGAGGAGTTCAAAAGGAATGTGGAAAATCGAAAGCAAATGGACTAAAGGTCTCTAACTGATTCAAATAGCGAAACAAGCGACAAAAACGAAGGCGAGGAACCTATCAACTCTTCAAGCAACCAACGAACGAGAAGGGTAGCGTGAATATGTCAACACGTTGTTGTAAGAAACGTCGGCATTGTGTCGTCATAATTTCGGGGCTAGCCCCGATCGGCTCCGATGATTTAGTAAAAGAAACAGAAAACAAACGAGACAAACGCGGCGAGTGGAAGATAAAAGAGAGAATACGATATACAATGAGCAACCGGGGCAAAATCGGCGTCGCCCCGTCGACGTTCGGCGAAGGCTTTGCGAGCGAAAAATGAACCACGTCAGGAGAATATGGCTAGTGTAGACAGTCTGTGCAACCGATATTGAGGTATTTTTCGAATATTTTTTATTATACCGAAAAAACAACCGGGGCATTGCCCCGGTTGGCCCTATTGACGCGCCGCCACTGAGTTATTGAAATTGTCAGCTGGTCTATGGTGACTGAAGAGGAGGACAGTTTCCTGATAGTTCATTCAATCAAAATAATCAACAGCTCTCCCTTTCAGTGTTGAATTGACCTTAAAAAAATAATCTCCAAACAGTAACATGTTCAAAGCAGAGAAAATTGCTAATATATATTGTTTAAGTTTGGAACAAAATTCTGAGTTCGATTTTGAATTTTTGATGTCATCGGGTAGGGAATTCCAAGCTTTTGGTCCACACACTGCGATTGATTCTTGTGAAATACTTTTACTGACAAATGGAATAAAAAAATTATCTTTATTTCTGCTGTTTGAATTTGGGTTTGCTTGGAACAGGCTGTTCAGGCTGGACGGAAGCTCTCCAATGTGACAAGAGAACATCATATTACATAGTTCGAATTTAGCTAAATCCACAACTCGTAGTAGCCTATGCTCTTTAAATAAGTCATCAATTTTTTCGCGATTACCTCTATGAAAAACTCTTCTAATAAAGCGATTGCAAACACTTTGAATTTTTTTGAGAATGGACGATTGGCGATGAACATAAGCTGAGGCACAATAACAAATATGGCTTTCTATCAGAGAGTGGTATAGAGATATTAAACAAGATGTATTTAAGTTGTTGGCTATCACTAATTAACATCCGGTTAATCCTCACAGGGAGGCAGAATGACGAACAATTTTGAAAACTTTAAGTATGTTTGGTTCGCAATTACAAGATTTTTAAAAGGCATCCTGATTTCAGTCAGACTATAGGGCTCTCCCGATTAAAATTTGAATAAACTTTTGTTAAAGATAAAAATTTTCTTCAGAAGGCTATTACTTTTTTTTTGCTATGACGTCATGTAGCCCGCTCCGGAAGGAAGTAGCACTAATTCAATATCCGGTTAATCCTCACAGGGAGGCAGAATGACGAACATTTTTGAAAACTTTAAGTATGTTTGGTTCGCAATTACAAGATTTTTAAAAGGCATCCTGATTCCAGTCAGACTATAGTGCTCTCCCGATTAAAATTTGAATAAACTTTTGTTAAAGATAAAAATTTTCTT